CCATGTGACCTCCCCGCGTCCAGGGGTACCATGTGACCTCCCTGCGTCCCGGGACCCCGCGCCGCCTCCCGGGATCCCATGTGATCTCCCCGCCTCCAGGGGTACCATGTGACCTCCCCGCGTCCAGGGGTACCATGTGACCTCCCCGCGTCCAGGGGTACCATGTGACCTCCACCCGCCATGTGACCTCCCCGCATCTAGAGGTACCATGTGACCTCCCCGCGTCCCCCTCCCCGCCTCCAGGGATCCCATGTGACTCCCGCGTACAGGATACAATGTTGCACACTCACAGATGTCACTCTTCAGACATCATTTGGCCCATCACACCCGGCCGCTCCATCACACTGCGTCTCTATACAGAACAATGTGCTAAAGGGGCTCCCAGGTGACCGGGGGAGGAGTCTGCGAATTGCTGTAACCCGTAGCAACCACTCAGATGACATGTATGGGGAGGTCGAAGTGACATCACTGACCTGAGGAAGCGCAGAGGATTATGGGAGTCCGACTCCGGCGTCTCCGAGAATAACAGGTCGGAGTACGATCTCAGCCCCTCCAGGAAGACCAACTGCCCCCCATCCCGGGCACTGAGCAGGTTCACCCCCTGGGGGGAGGGGAGAGAGAGGAAGGGGGAGGGGGGACAGTGAGTTATCCATAAGCTGCCATCACCGATAATCTGACTTCTGGTTCTGTACGACCCCCGACCTCTGACCCCCGACCTCCACTTACCAACTTCTGTGCGATGAGGTTGTAATGGCTGAACGACTGAGCCAGAGCCACGAAACAAACCTTCCGCCCACCTGAGGAGACACCAACCATCAATATACATTTCAGATAGTAGGACAGGAAGTGATGTAACAGGAAGCCGCCGTCCGTCTTCCAATCGCTGATCAGTGTGAATTGTCGCTGAAAGACAGAAAACGTCCGATGAGGAAGTTGTGAAGGCATCGGATGGAATGTGGCGGGTCAGATCCCTTCTGTGTCCCCTGGAGGAGATTCCCCTTTACTTCCTGTGCTGGTGACACAACAGGAAGTGAAAAGAAAATCTCTACAAAGTGAGGGAAAACAGAACAGGTGTCCCCACTGGAGGATTTCCCCTCACTTCCTGTTCTGGTGACACCGGGGGGTGAATCTCCCCCATACACAGAACTCAGACCATAGTATACACCAATGAAGGAGACAATTTCATCCAATCACCGTTCATCTCTTAGTGACTCCGGACTTCAACCTGAAATATACATTCCAGAACTCCCTCGTTGCCCCGCCCCCAGCCG